CAGTGACTATCAATTATTGCACAGTAAAGGACATGCCTACCAAATGCAACCAAATTTTTTAAGTTCTCATAAAATTGCAAACCATTAACTACTTGGTAAAATTCATTTGCCATTCAAGCCTTCCACAGTTTTGTTCCCTGTTACCTTGGAGCTCTTCCCTCCCTTCCCTACTATTTTTCCCTCAAATTTTACATTGAAGATGGAAAGCAATTCTTAAGTATTATAATTCAACTTTTAGAAATAATTTTATAAGTAAGTATTATCATGTAAACCAATACCCTGAAGCCCTTTGTAGCAAAGATAAACCATCTTCTAGCCAGGCCTATTACTCACATTCGTTATATTTAAATAATACTCTATGACAAATTCTCGTCAATGAAATTTGGGGAAATGTCCCTTTCAGTTCTTAAATGGTCTGTGAGCCACAAACAAAATCCCAAGAGTCGAGGAATGGAGGAGTCACAAAACATGAGGTGCTTCAAGTAGGTGACTACACAGAAGACAACCATACTAACCAGGACATGCAAACTTCTGCATAAGGCACTAAAAGTTTGTACTGAAGTTACTGCCATGATTGGCATTAGCAGTAAAGACAGAAATTCCTAAATATTTTAATCCCTCTTAATGAAAGGTGTTTATAATGAACATTCTGGAAAGGTTGTTTACAGCTCCTTTAGGTAACAGTACATCTAAAATCTAAACAATATTCCACTTTGACTTTGTTATAATTTCTTTAGTTTAAATAAAAAGGATGACTATTTCCAGAATTAAAAATAAAATATCTAAATACTTGGCCTTTTGTTTGTTTGGAGTAGGGAGATGCCTTTTTTGTTTTGGAGGAGGAGTGGTTTGTTTTGATTTATCTGACAGGGTCTCAATATGAAGCTGGGACTGACCTAAACTACAGGGTTCTGCCTCTGCCTCACAAGGGCTGGGATTACAGGCCTGCACCAGCAGGCTGAAAAGGATGTGGAGAAAAGGAATCCCTATGAACTGCTGGTGGGAGTGTAAACTAGCACAGCCAATACAGAACACCTCAAAAAATTGAAAACAGGATTACCATATGAACCAGCTATGACACCCCTGTATATATACTCAAGACTTTATATCCTGCGATAGTGATAAATATACACACTCATTTATTGATGCTATATTCATGATAGCAAGGAAATGGAATCAGCCTAGATGCCATGACAACAAGAAAAATGGAATCAGTCTAGATACCCATAATGAAAATGTGGTATACATACACAATGACATTTTACTCAGCTGTAAAGAAAAATTAAATATGCAAGGAACTGGGTGTCCCGGAAGGCATTATATTGAGCCATCTGACCCAAATGCAGAACAACAAAACCAATGCTCTCTCTTCATATGTACATAAGTGTGAATAAATGTGGGTAAAACCTACAATACTAGAATGGAGTACAATACAAGAAAGAGTATAGAGATTCTGAGGAGGGAGAAGGAAAAAAAAACGAACATGTATGACATAAATCCAGATGGGGGTGCAGGATAGAAACAAAGGGGGCTAAGGGTGGGAGAGATAGGAGGGAACTCAAATTTTTTTGAAAATTCCACAGTTATATCTAACACTTTGTATGTTAACTTTTTAAATAAATCAAAATATATTTTGCCTTCTAATAAAACCATCTCTATAAACATATATGTGTACATGCACACATATATATAATTTTTAAGTGGTTGTTTATATATTAAAACTTTCACTGGATATTTTGAAAGTTTAGAAAACCTCACTGTATACTTATAAAATTTAGAAAATATAATAAGATCATTGTTGTTAAAACAAAGAAAATATAGGGAACCATGTTTTTAAAAATCATTTTTAAATTTTTAACTGTGTCTATATGTGGTTATGTGCACATGAATATCAGATCCCAACAGTTAGTTGTCAGCTGTCTGACATGGGTATTGGGAACCCAACTCCGGTCCTCTGTGAGAGTACTATGTTCTCTCACTCACTCAACCACCTCTCCAACCTCAAAATTGGTATTTTTAAAGAGACATGAACTTAGCTCTCAATGACATTATTCCCACACTCTCACTGCTCTGTCTTCACCTCACACTCCAAAAAGGAAACTAGGAGGAAAAAAAACAAAAAACTCCTTAAATTAGAACCAAGTATAATGGTAATCAGTAGGAAGGCTGAGGCAGGAGAATGCTAAGTATGAAGTAAGCCTACACCACAGGGCAAGACTTTCAAAACAAATTTTAAAAAGCAAGTAATTTTTAAAATTGTCATTCTTTTAACTTTTCCTGGCTTTACTTTATACTCCTTACCATTACGGTTTTCCAAAGACATAAATTACAATTACATTTTAAAAAGCTTAAAATCCAATGAATAACACATTTATTATTCTCTACAAAACAATTAAAATAGCAAATTATCATAAGATGGTAGAAAAACTCTGCTTCCACCACTCAGAAGTGACTCCTAAAGGTTTTATTTACCAAAATCAGTCAACATGAACTATAAGAATTATATCATTCTTTTATGACACTTAATACTTTGTGACTGTATATAAATTCTAGTTCTTTGGTCCAATTTAATGTTTGATTATATACAGAACTTAGAATCCTCCCCCAGGGTTTATGTTACAAAAAATTCCTAAGAAACTAAGAGACTACTCAAAAAAACAGTAATTATTATCAAATACGGCTATTTATCATAAACTCACATGCAAGGCTACATCGACAACTTTATTTCTAGAAAAAGTGCATCTCATATGCTTACAAGTACTTTATGTATTTCAATGGCCTCTGAAATACTTCGTTTGCCCTTCAGTGTTGGAAACCAAGCCCAGGACTTCATACCGGCAAGCTAAGTTGTGCATGAAGCTACACTCCCAGCTGTATATTCTTGATCCCTAACTCACGGTTAAGCACTATTGTTCTAGATAATTAATGTGTATTTGTACTTACCAACGCTTTTCGACACTTATAATCAGAGCTGTCTGGAGCATGCAGTACTAAAATAAGGCACCTACTATGTGTTAAACATGTTTTCTCATCCCATTCTCACCACCTTACTGAAAAGATACCATCGTCTTGATACAGGTAAGAAATGCACAAACTCTAGATATTCCAATGGCAAAGACAGTAAGAGAATGAATACGAATCACATGGCCATGGTTCCAACAGGTCTGTAAAAATTAAGTCTTTTTCCCCCCCGCTGACCTGCACACATGAGGTTGTTCTTCCTCTTCCCACCCGTCACCTTCCCAACGGAACAACCTTCTGTGTCTGAGACCTGGTTCAGAGAAGGGCAGTCTCGGGCCCTCGCCATGAGCACAGCCTGAAAGCATCATTCTGTTCTGTGATCCACCCGGTCAAGGTCTAGCTGAGCGGGCTAACTAAACACAAATGAGAGGCCAGTGCGGGAAACCGGCAGTAAACAAAACAGAATGGAAACAAACGCACGGATTCTCCTACAACAGCTTTCCAGGAGCACAGAGGCTGCTGCGTGAGGGTTCGGGAGACTTGAGGAAAACACGCTTGCTAGCCACGACCACGCTGACGAACACCGAGAAGCATCTAAACAGCCGGGCACAAACGGCTCAGCTCAGGTCCCGAGCGAGCAGTCCTCCTCCACAGTCTGAGCTCCATGAGCTGCCTGGGTTAGGGTGACAGCTCGGCTAACTTCCTCTTCCTCGCTGACCTCCTCCTCAGTTCCTTGCGTCCACGCCTTTCCCTCCAGGAGGCAGGGCAGGAGCAATTTCAAATTCACAAGATCCACCCGATCCGATCCCACCCGCGCCACAGGCCCGGGCGGCCAGCTTCCCGTCCTGCCTCTGCCTTCCTAGGGCATTTTTCTAAGGGTTGGGGGGAATCTCACCAACGACAAAGTAATCTGCAACAACAACAACAACAACAAAGAACGTGTAGACTCGGCCTCTCCTCGCACAGCCTTGGAGGAGGGCGTACGGCGGAGAAGGCAACAGCGCGTCTTCCGAGATTGACTGTTTTGAATCACTTTCCCTCGGGTTCCCACCGCCAGCCGAGGAAAGGCCTGCAGTTAGGACGCCAAAAACCCGCCTCCGTCTCCCTAGGGGGGACGCGGAGGCGGCACAGGAGACCGCCACCCGCGTGTCCCGCCCCCGACCCTCACCTGGCCAGGCCCGGGGCGGCGCCCAGGGCCCGCGCGAGCACGGCGTCCCGAGAGCGTCTGGGGAGGCCGGCGGGCGGGCGGGCGGGCGAGCGGCTGGCGGGCGGGCGCGAAGACGGTTAGGCCGCGCTGCAGGCCGGCGCGCTTCCTGCCGCGGCCCCAGCCTCGGCAAGCGCGGCCTGAGCCCCCGCCGCCCGCTCGCCCGCTCTCCATGGGGGCCGCACTCCCTCCCGCGTCCACGACCAAGGGCCCCGCCGAGCAGTTCTCACCTGCGAGGCTCCCGGGCCCCGGCCTCGAAGCGGGAGGACCACGCCGCTCAGGGGTCCCCCGACGCCGGCCCCCTCCCCACACGCACACGGCCGGGAACCCGCGCCCCCCGAGGCGACGCGGGCCGGCTCCCGCCGCCCGACACGCACACACACGCACACCCACTCGCCGCGGGGCCGCCTCCCGCTCGCCCGCCCGCCCGCCCGCTCACTCGCCCGCCCGCCCGCCAAAGTCCCAACTCACACACCCACACACGTTCGTCCCTCGCCCACCTCACTTCCCCCGGGGGGACGCGCTCCCCCTCGCTCCACTCCCGGCCCCGCTCCGAAGCACGGAAAACACTCTACCTCATTTTCCTCGGCGGGCCCAGAACCAGCAACAGCAGCCATTTCCCGGCGGCGGGGGAAACACACACACACACACACACACACAAACCCGCGCGCCCGCGCGCACCAGGCCCCCACAGATGCTCCCCTCCAGACCTCAGACGCAAACACAAACACGCCCGCCCGCTCGCTCGCCCCAAGGGCCCGCGGCGGCGGCAGGCCCGGCCCCGCAAGGCGAGCGCGCAGGGCCGGGAGAGCCCAGGCCCGCGCCCCCTCCTCACCTGCATTCAGCGCTCCAGGGTCCGGGCGGCGGCGGCGGCGGCGGCGGCGAGGCGGCTGCTGCTGGGGCTGCGGCGGCGGGGGAGGCGGCGGCGGCGGTGGCGGCGGGGCTGAGGGCAGTAAAGACATGCAGGCAGCCCGCCGGGGGGAGAGGCACCGGCCGGAGGGGACGCGGGGCGGGCGGGCCGGGCCGGGCCGCCTGAGGAACCACCGAGGCGGCGGAGGGCGGCCGAAGGGAGCGAAGAGCAGCCGGATCGGGAGGGGGCGGGGAGAGGGGAACGCGGGCCGCGCCGGGCCGGGCCGGGGCGACGGCGACCGGGGCGCGCAGGACAGGGCCCGCGCTCGCCGGAGACGGGACGAGAGCCTCGCGGGGCCCGGCCTTGGCCTTCTCCTGCGCCCGCCGAGGCTGCCGCCGCCGCGGGGGTTGCTGCCGAGCCGGGTTGCTTGCCGAGGCCGGGGCCGAGCCGAGAGGGAAAGAGAGAGGACAGAGAGAAAGAGAGAGAGAGAGGCGCGAGCTTGCGGTGCCTTCGCTCTAATTCACACACGCTCACACCCCCGAGGGCCGGGGGAGAGGAGTCCGGGCGCTATCGCTTTAGAGATTAATAACAAGGTGCAGAGAGTGCGAGGAGGAGGAGGAGAGATGATTGACGTGGAGGGGCCGGCGGGACTCAGTCACGCCCCAGCGCCGAGGGGCGGGGCGAAGCAAGGGAGGGGCGGGGCTCCAGCGCTGCGCGGCGGGAGGTGCGCGTGCGCGCGGCGCGGCCAAGCCGCTGGCTCACTTCCTTCCTCACCCTGGCTGGTGTTTTGAAAAAAAGAGAGAGAGAGAGATTTCTCCCAGATTAGGCTGAGCCGAGAAAATTTGTGGGATTATCAAGCCCTTCGCGCTCACGGGTGCAGGAAGACACGCGGGAACTTTGCGGGGACCCCGCACTGTTTCTGATGCTGGCCCACAGCAGAGCCCTGGGCTTTCTAGCCGGTTAAGGAGCCTTCAGGTGAGGGGAAGACGCACGTCTTCACACCCTCAGTGTGTTTCTTTTCCTTTGTCTTTCTCTTTTTTTTAAACAGGTAGCATGTGTAAATTGCGTAGCGGGAGGTGAATTTCAAAACCTCTGACGCTCTGCGATTACCCCGTCCTATTTTTAAAATGCTCCCTTCTCGCGATAAAATTGTATTTTGGCAGTTCGCGGCAGTTACGGAATGAAAACATTCAAGTGTAAACTAGAAATATTATTGGTTGCCGCGTGAATGGAGCCTGCTATTTTCGGTTCCGAAGGACTTATTTTCGCCACTTGATGGTTTTTCCACCAACAGACCGAGAAGCAAATTGCATTTGCTCCTGAAGGCAGAGTGCTTGCTGCCTTGGATTTATTTGCACTTTCAGTCTGTCCAGGCGCATGGCTCTGTGTTGGGTGGTCCAGAGCCGATTACACCGTTCAACTTATTTTATCCTCAAAAATATGTTGTCTTTAGCCCACTAAAGGCATCGTATTTGGTTGCAGTTCATCTCGGGCTTTGTTACGGAATGTTTAAAGCCTTTATCTCTTGCAAGGGGAAAAAAAGGATGTGATTAAAATGCAAATCATTTATGAAGAACTGAACTGCACCTTCATCTTGTCACCAGGAAGTGTGAATGAGTGAAGAAAAAAAAAAGCCTCTAGCTAAAAAGACCCAACAAGCTACCTATTTTTCCATCCTGCTTAGATTTCTATTTCCCTTGCTAGCAGCATCCACCCCGCCCCCACCACCACCACCAACACACATACACAACACTTTTTGTGAAAGGTGTTAAAATGCCCTTAATTCTGGAAGAAGTGTATTCAATCCCAACTATTTTTGTTTAGGCTGACAAAAACACTAACAACAATTAGTACTCTTTAGCTTTGTAATCAGCACAGTCAAACAAGCCACTTCAGGAGGCTAGGACAGTGAGCCTGCCTTCCTTACACCTTATTTCCCATCAATTTTCTTGATACAAATCCCCAAAATAGAAATACTTAGCAAATGTTGAAAAGGATAAACAAATAGTTCAAACTTTTAAGTCAGACAAATGTGATACTTACATGTCTCACACGTCTTCAAATAACCTTTTAGGTAAATTTCTAGCTCACACGCAATAAGCAAACATACATGCCATGTGTGTTACGTTCTCTTCACAGTACCGGAGAGACAGTCAAGCATGTACAGTCCCTTTCCCTGTGTACTTCACAGTCCTTGCAGGGGAAGCTGACACATAAACAGGAAGTTCTCAGAGAATGAGCCAAAAATGAAAGGTGACACAAATTAGTTGAACAATGCCTAGAATGGCAGATGGAAAGCACTGACATTTTTACCTCAGCCATCTGATACTACCCACCACCATCAGCTGCCTAATAGTAGAAACAGTACAGGGAAAAGAGAGGGGGCCATTGTGGGTATTTAAAAAGCACTCAAATGATGAGGTTTGCTGATCTTGGGACTCAGGTTTACCTAGGGAAATGTTCGTCGTTGGTGTCTTATGTTTTACAATCATTGGGGATAGGGTAATTAAAACATTTAGGATTTAGAAGGTAAATGTTTTTATAAAAAGTTCTATTGGAGGTGAGGGCTGGAGAGATGGCTCTGTGCTCTTACAGAGGACTTGTTGGATACCCAGCACCTACATGAAAGCTCACAACCACCTGTAACTGAAGTTCTAGGGGATTGATATCCTCTTCAGATTTCCAAACATACATTTGGGCAAAGTACTAAAATACATGAAAGTCAATAAATACTTTTTTTTCAAAATCCCAGTTGAATTCACACTGTGTTCAAGTAATCTCTACACACAGAGGTATTTTCTGTATGGTAGCAAGTATATTGACTCTCTACAAACAAAAGTAAAGGACTAATTTGCATACACACCCTGCCCTTGACATGTTGGGATTCAGGGATTCAGTTTGTAAGGCCTCCAGCATCTTTAATAAGTACTGTATTACTGAGTACTAGTGAACCACATCCCAAGCTCTGGACAGTTTCTGTATGTTTGGTTAGTACAGTCTTGGGAGTTTGTTGCTTTGTTTGAGAGACAATCTCATGAGATGCCCAGGCTATCCTTCAACTATCCTTCCTCTGGAGTGCTGGGATTACAGGTTTCTACCATCATACTGGTTTCACTGACCATTTTTAAAAGTCGGTTTTATAGAACAGAGATGGTGGTATACGCTTATAAACCCAGAACTCAAGAGGCAGAGGCAGGAGGATTGCTGCAAATTCAAGGCAAAGAGCCGCCTGGCCAACATTCTTGGCCTGCCATGCCTACAGATTGACATACTGTCTCAATGAAAGAAAACTTACAGGATGTTTTCCATGTTTTTCAGATTTTTAAAAATTATAAATTAGAATAAAATAGAAAATCTCTGCCTTGGCTGTTGGGAATGGAGCTGTAATAAACACAGGAGTACCGATCTATCTTTGGTGTACTGAGTTTGTTAGTGATATCTCATTTGTTTCTAATTTGTATTTTCTTGATGACTACTCATCTTTATGGTGATGGATACACTAATTTTCTAGACTTGATCATTATACAATATAAACACTTAGAGAAATACATTCTGTAAATAAGTACAATTATGTGTCAATGAAAATTAAAAGAAAAATTGTCCTTTTTAGAGAAGTAATTTGGAGCTGGAAACACGGCATAATGATTAAGAGCCTGTAACTCAGGCTCCAGGATATACAACACCCTCTCCTGGCTTCCAAGGGCATCTGTGATCTAACACACACAAAATTAAATCTTAAAAACAAAAGAAAATGTAAAGGAATAGTTTATCCAATTGGAGTTTCTTACTTAAGTAAAGTCTTTTAGGCCAAATTGCCTTACTAGTATTTTTGTTCATATGATTGCAGAATTGGTTCATACTTTCAGAGTGAAAGGGGTACTTGTCCTGTGATTTGTTTCAAGCTGGCATTTGAAACATTTTATCTGAATAAATCTTCCTATCCATGTTTTTAATAGTAACCCATTGCTATCAAATTCTGTTCAACAATTTTCTCAAAAGCAAAGATTTCAGGTTTTTTTTAAACAAAATTACTACTGTTTGATTAAATTAGATTTTATTGATTTCAGTGCCTATGTTTATGGCAACAACTTCATAACTTTTTTAAAAAGTCACGCTCCGATTTATTTGATTAAGATATAATTAGTAAAATAGGGCTAGAGAGATGACTTGGTGGCTAAGAGTGCTTACTGCTTTTCAAGAGGACCTTAGTTCTGTTCCCAACACCTATATTGGGCTTCTATCTCTAGCTCCAGGGGGTCCAAGGACCTTCTCTGGTCTCCAAGGCCACCTGCATACACATGGTGAATATGCACAGAGATATACACATACACAAATGAATAAAAATAAACATTAATGTTGGTAAGACAAATGTACTTTACTCCATTTTACAAATATAAAATGACCTTAACTTGGTCTGGAATGTATTCAAACATATCACTTTGTTGCACATGACCCAGTTTTGTTTCCCAGCACCATAAACAAATAAGCAGACAACTTTAACATGTTGTGAAATAAGTGTTGTGCCTAATGGCAGTTCAGTCAGTGCTTTCTTACAAGAGGACCTGAGTTTAATCTGCAAACTACCTACCCAAAAAAGGAAGGGGAAAAATGCTGGGCATGAAGATACAGATCAGGAGGCAGAGGACACTGGAAGATAGGAAGATCCCTGGGACTCACTAGCCAGCCTAGTGTGCATGGTGAGTTCCAAGCCAGTAAGACACAATGCAAACAAAACAAGCCAAAAAGAAGAAAAGACAGTGGCTAGAATGTCAGGAACAAGAGTTGAAGTTGTCTTTTGGCCTCCACATAACACACACACATGCACATGCCCACTTCTATATGAACTTGTCATATAAATGCACACACAGGGCTGGGGAGTTGGCTCAGTAGTTAAGAGCATTGGCTGCTCTTCCAGAGGACCTTGGTTCAAATCCCAGCACCTGTATGGCAGCTCACAACTCTCTGTAAACTCCAGCTTCAGGGAGTCTGACAGCCCCACACAGACATACATGCAGGCAATATACCAATGTACATAGAACAAATGCACACAAATATATATTAAGATTTTTTTTTTACTTCCCAGACCTTCTCACAAGACCTCCAAATTATTTCCCTGAAGTGACACAATCTGTATTTCACTGAACTGCATTTTCTGTGCTCTCATCATTGATGCCACTGTCTCTCTCTCCCTCTCCTTTCTCTATCTTGTGTAATTCTTTTTTATTGTTTTTATCTTGATTGATGTTTA